CCAGGATTGTCAACTAATCATTAACAGACTTTAAAAGATATTTGAGAAGATGACTTAAACTAGGATAAGTTAAACTTAATTAAATTTGGTTGGTTTAATTCATATCTTTACTCTTTTACAATTTTTTTTATATAGAATTCGATTTGATTTTACATTCATATACTGTTCACTTGTGAATTGATATTCTATCACTTATAAATTTTTAATAAAAAAATAAAATTAAAAGACAGACTAACAATACGCAAAAAATTCTTAAATTTCTCAAAGTTGTAACTAACTCGGTAATCAAAATAAATATAAACCCTAAATAAATCTTCAATGATAATTTTTTAATTAAATTTAATTATTTTTTTTAATATTAATTTGATTTATTATTTTAAAATAAATTAATATAATTCGATCAATTAATATCATCAATAATATATTATATTAACGTAATATATGAAAGTGCAATAACATAAACATGCGGGCATCAAATAAAGAAATATAATGATAGTAACATCGTATTAAAATAGCATATGCTCGACAATATTCAAGAGCTTCTTTACATGGGCCTGTAATCCATTGACTCTCTAAAATCATGATGTCGATTATACAATATTTTGCCAAGTGACCTCAACCCTCCACTATGCCTCTGGTGCTGAATTCACAACAGACAATGAGATCATACGTGGTCGTATCGATTTGATTGTGCATAGCAAAGCCATGACTAACACATCACAATGAAAACAAACTTCATAAATGTAGTATTCAACGTTACTGAATTTGAGAAATTCACTTACCAAGTGAATTGCAGTATGTCTGAATCCTATTGCAAATTTAGTTGTCTACAAAGAGCAATTAACTTAGTTAACAATATACAAAGTAAATAGACGATTAAAAAAGAATGCATACAACTGACTACAGTATCAAATAACAGGAGAGAAACATGGCGTGTTAGTCTATATTACAAGGAACAGTAGATAAATACATAGAATGTGAACATAGAAATGGTAATGATAAACTAAATATAATATACCAAAAATAATTAATAATTAATAAATAATGACTGACAATTGTTTCTTATATTGAAAGCAAAATACTTTTAATAATAATTAATCATTCCTTTTATGAATAAGTCATACCATTAGACAGTTTATCAACAATAATTAAAATTTTTATGAATATTATTATTTTCCTATTATTTATTTTATTAAATTAGTAATTATTCCTTTACTATCTATAAATTAAATTTAAATTTGTAAAAAAAATTATCAATAGTTAAAAAAAATATTATACTTAACTACATCAATATATTGATAGATACATGAGTAATATTCTAATATAAAATATTCTTATAAGAAGAATAAATATTTTATAAATAATTAGTTATATATACAGGTTGAAGATTTGATATTTCTTTTACATGCATATACTTAAATATCTTATAATTTTTTATAAGTGGTTCCTTCTCAAACATCTCATAATAAAGTTCGCTCAACCTTAAAATCTATATAAAAACATTTTATGTCCATAATGAAACAAGATAAAATTTTATTTCGACCACAGCTTATGGTATGAGGCAACAATCAATCTTCTTTAACTCCAAACATGGATGCAACCACCATTATTGCTCTAAAGCACATATTATAAATATACAACAACAAATGATCAGCTACAGACTAATTTAACTTTTGTACATAATCTTAAGATCATTCAAGAAAATGTCAATCAAAATCAACAACGGTGCCAAGAAGAATTAAAAGCAAGGAACAATTAAGAAACATTGTCCAGGGCTCGCCCAATCACCTGAAACAAACCAAGAACAAGGAGATGGGGTATTTTGTAGCTACAAATCGAGCTCTCTCATATGTCCTCCGAATTATTTCGAGGTATGTTGAAGCGGAAGAGGAAATCACATACAATCCAATGGTACGTGAATATGCATGTAAAAAAAAAGAAAAGAAAAAGAAGTGCGTACATTAGAACTAAAAAAAACATATGATTTATGAAATATTTACCTTTATTATACTGAAAAATACCTTCTATATCAGGATAATATTCATATATAAGAATAATGTTCATATATCTTAATATGTTAGTGTATACAAATATTATACCATAAATTAAGTTATTCATTACAAATTAAAATATAACACTTAAAAATATTTATTTGCTATAATTTTAATTATATTATATAAAATAAATATTTATAATATAAATGAAAGGTAAATACTGGTTTATTTTTATTTGTTTAATTTAATATTTTAAACATTAATTTCAGTTGTTACTAATTTTATCAATAACATATTGATATATCCTATATTTGTAAAACTAATTATATAAATAAAATGGAACAAAAACTATAAAATACTTCAATGCTGTAATTGGAAAATCATTTTACATTAAAATATTAAAATCTTGAACACATATTTCACATGTAAAGCAGAAAAAGGAAACAACATAGAATTGAATGCCGTAATGAGTGATCACCGCATAGAATTCTTGTTAATAATTTACAATTTCTAGATAAAAAGGGAAAACTTCACTGCTGCAGCAGCAAATAATTATGTAACTTGCTCAATCAATGAGAACATGAAAGGTTTTATGACTAGGGATTTACAGAGCAAACAAATAACAAGCATTTTTACTTTTGAAAAGTCAAGCAAACAATGGATAATAACTTTTCAATAAACACCTTGGTTTAGTGTTAGCACAGCTTGAAATCATGATTTGCAAAGCTTGAAGAGTGTGGGAGAACCATGGATGTTAAGGCTCTAAAAGACCAATCCTGATAATGTGGATACCACCAGAGATGTGAAATTCGGTGGCCAACTACCGGAAAATAAAATGTACACTTTGGAGAATCACTGTAGTTAAATTAACTATTTATTAAACAAATACAATTCTAGGATTAAACCTTATCTTGCTTCTATGGTTGAGAACTAGTATGACACATAACAATTAACTATTAATCATCAGAACTAATTGTTTTCTGAAAAAAAGTCTAACTAATTGCCGATAAAAAGAGATGAATTAACTATTAGTCATCTCATTTCAACAGAATCACAAAAATGTAATGATTCAGAACAGAGGCTGAACTTCCTTCATGTTAAAAGCTCCATCGAAAATCAACAATAACCAGGCAGACAACAATATTTTAAAAAATTTGACGAAAATCCAATAATTTTTAAACAAATAAAATAAATGGTATCCTTTCTTCACTCTTTTATTACCCTATAGCTATATATATATATATATATATATATATATATATATATATATATATATATATATATATATATATATATATATATATATATAATCAACAATAAACATTTTATTTGCTGATAATTAAAGTATGATCTCTCTCTCTCTCTCTCTCTCTCTCTATATATATATATATATATATATATATATATATATATATAATATATATATATAATAAATTGTTTATTTTTCGCTTACTCCCTCCTTTCACCCAAAAATTATATAAATTATCTCATTTTACTATCTCTCGTTTCCACTAAACAATAAATGATCATATAAAACAGAGGTTCAAAATTACGGCCTTTTAGCACAAATAAGTTCTTGCAGTTTCAGTAACACTCAATTTCTAGGGAGTCCTAGAATTATATATCTATAACAAATTCAGACAACCTTTCAGTAACAATACAAATTTCTAGCCTGTGCACTATTTAGATGTTTTCAGAATGAACTATAACTAGTATTATAAATCAATCACTTAATTGTATCCTCGTATAACTATCTCAATTGCATCCTCGTAATAGAACTTTTCAGAAAGACCTATCTCAATTGCATCCTTGTTCGAAATAAATTAATACAAGAAAGATATGTATAGAATATAAAATTAAAAATGAAAACTTTTGGTTAACCATATTAACATTTTTGGCTAGAATCCTCAATTGGAATTAATAAAAAAAAGGCAATAGACATTACTGCACATAAAAATACATTCATTAATGAACAAAATCCACGCATGAAAAATCCAATCCATAGTTGGATCACATAAAAAACTTCAAAACAAAATGAAAATCCAAAACTTATTAAAAGGAAATAGTATGTAAAGTCAACTCTTCATATGTCGGTTATATTCTATTAAGCTTCTAATGAATGAAAGATAAATTTTTAATGGGGATTTTATGGAAGTACATATATTTTTAATCCCATTCCATCCTTAAAACATATATCAACAACATAGTTTCACAAATTAAAACCAAAGACCAATACAGAATGATTCCAGTGACTGAAAACCATCAATATGGTCCCTTGTTAACTAAATTTGAGAAATCTACCTCAAAATATCGATGAATAAGAACCTATATTTCAAACGCTCCTTGAATTTAGACTTTTGTAGACCTGAAACTTTGTCGTACGGTGAAACACTGTTCACCCTTCCGGCTGCAGAAATTTCATACGAACGTGTATATCTAAAGAAAAATCTATCCATTGTGGGAAACTGAAATGCTAAAAGTCAAGGGCAACACATTTGGGTTACAATTTATTATAAGAACTCAACCAGAAATGATACTCGTAGTAATAACGTTGCAAAATTTAAAGACAATAAATAAGTTAACAGAGGAAACAATCTCAATCCAGTGTTAACTTGTGGTTTCATCTCACGAAGTTATTATAGTATTCGACCGAAGGATCTATGTTGCCCATCCGAATCTATCATCCGAGCTGTTAATGTTTGCTAATGCATTCATTTTATTAGTTGTTATTTGTGCATTGACTATATTCGAAAAAAATAAAGGCCTTAGTGCAAATGTAAATTTAAACTGATAGATTAGATGATACCTCTTTATATTGATGACGAAGCGAGTCCAGTGGTTGTGTATCCGTGGCAAGTAGAGTGAGAGAGTGATCGAAAGGTAAAAAAGAAAAAGAAAGGGAGAAGGAAGGAAAAAGAACACATCACACACACACCGCCACACCAGAGGAAGACCCCGGGAATTCCCGTGCGATCTCCCTCAAAACCCACAAATAATGATTTTTTATTAATTTTTGTTGACCTGCCATGCAAGCGCACCTGTCATGGCAAAGGTCGGTTGACAAAGTTCTCCACAACCACTTCTTCCCCAAATACACCGACATTTCCCCTTAAAAAACCTCACATCATTTCTTAAAAATCGAATGCGAAGGGCTCCACACAGGAAAATGAACTGCTGCACCTGCCAAATTTTCTTCTCGTGATATGCGATCTGCGCTATATTCACCGCTATATTCACCGAGCCTTCACGAAACACGAACAGGATCATCACACCTGCAAATAGTATATAGGCGACACCGGGCTTCAAATCCTGGAAAAACTTAAAACAAATAAGACACATATACAAGAGTGAAAGAAAATATGCAAGAAAAAATGAAGAATCCAAAAAGAAATCACACCACATAGTAGCAAAAGCACGATGGGCGTGTAGATTGAAATCGGATCCATGTGGAACCAGACCAACAAGGATAGGAACACCGAGCACGTTCTTGGTGAGAGGGAGGAGAGGAATGACAAAACTGTTGAATTGAAAATTGGGGAAACCTAACAATGGTATATATAGGGTTTTGTTTGGGGAATGAAGGGTTGAGATTTCCAATTCTGAACCCGTGAGATTCTGCAACAGCAATTTATGGTGGTTAGATAATCACGCTTGACGTGACACTTTTTATTTTAAGTAATCCATAAATTTAGATTTAATGACATGTTTTATCAGTATATTTTTATACTTTTTACTAATTTTATTATTTAATTTTTTATTTTGTAAAATTTATCATCTAAAGTGTAAAATTATACCTATTTTACTTTTTTTAAAATAATATAATCCATTAATTTTTATTTTTATGAACTTTATAGTTTGATTTTTTATTTTATGAATTTTATCATTGAATTTCTATTTCATAAATTTTACCATTAAGTTTTAAATTTTATACAATTCATCCTTTGACATTTAAAATTGTAGACAATTTTTTTTATCAATTTACAAATAGTGTAGTTTGGTGACAAATAAATATGGTGAAAAAAAAACATTGAAGGTGAGATATTGTAATTTTATAAATTAAGTGAAAATATTTCATATTAAATTAATTATAAATGATAATATAATTTAGTTACACTATTAATAAAGAAGATGGGATTGATATTTTTAATTTTAATATGTTAAGGATTATTTTTGTACTTATTATTTTTTTAGATATGAATACCTAAGTTTTTTATAAGCATTTTTATTAACATATTAGAGTTGTTAAAATTGATAGCTTTACGAATCTAGTAAGAAAATATTAACAGTTTAATTTAACATTTGACTCAGAAAAAATATTAACAATTTAATTTAACGTATATTTTGTAATTGACTGTAATGTTTTTGTTTCATCTAACATAACAGACTGAAATTTTTTGTTTGATCTTAGATCAGATAATATTTTTATATAAAAATTATTCAAATAAAAATATATTTTAACAAATTAATTAATTTATTTTTTATTTTACATATCATAATTTGATATGTAAACTATAAAAGACAAAATAAAAACGTAAAAATAAAATATTTATTTTTTCTTTCGTAATTTCTTTAGTAATTTAATAACATAACATAAATGACTATTTTGTTTTAATTTTTATCTTAAAGTAAATACTTTTATTTTTAATAAATTTGTATAATATATATATATATATAATAATAATAATATTATTTTTATGTTAAAAAATAATAATAGTTATTATTATATAAAATAAGTTAACTTATAAAAATACGAATTGATTTAATAAAAGGCTATTTTAACTGATGGATTGGATTAAAATTAATCTGATTTAATTTAAATTATAATCTTTTTTTAACTTATCTTATATTTTAAGTTTCTTTAGATATGACAAGTATTTGTGATATAATGCAAATTCTACATTTTTTTTTGTTTCAAAATATTTTATACATAATTTTTTCTTAATATTTGCTTTAATTTTCTCAACTTTATCTAAAGAAATAGTATTATTAATTTTTCTTTAATCTTCATTAAAACATAAAAACCACGTCGTTTTTTTTCACATCCTTACATTCTTAATACCATGCAATTAATAGAAGGATAAAATATTATAATTTTTAAATTTAAGTAAAAAAAATTTACAATTTTGAAAATTTGATGTAAAATATTTAAAAATTGAAATTTAGTGATAAAATTAAAAAAATTTGAAAATTCAATGAAAAAGTCATGATTTTTTTTATAAAAATGTAAAATTTCAATAATAAAATATGTAATTAAAATTTAATGCAGATCTCGCCGTCCTAAAAGCCACTTCATTTGATCACAACATCGTATTATTATTAATTTGATTACTAGTGTATATAGTAAATTTTCAGTCATAAAAGTCTAAGATAAAATATATATTTTTTAAATGTTTAATGATAAAATATAATTAAACATAAAATAAATAAATAAAAATATTTTTTTTAATAATTATTTCAAAACAGAATATAATTTTATATTATTTATAACAATTAATAAAAATATTACCGTGTATCATGTATATAATTTTGGAACAAAATTATCCTTTCACATATCATTGTTTCTTCTTCTAACTTTCCACTCCCTTCACAGATGCCTATTCTTTTCAACACAAATACACTCACGCATGCATACCTATTACTAATGCAAAACTAAAATTAATATAAGTATTATCTTTTTATAATATCAGTATTACATTTTTAAATTAATATTCATTTTTAAATATATTTTATTTTAATTTAATTTCATTAAATAGTAGTCAAAACTTTTATAAATAAAGTTTATTAAAAAATTATATATTAAAATAATTTGTTATTGATTTAATTTTTTATCTCACAAAACAACAGAAAAGTTGTTAATGTTTTCATTATTTTATTTGAAGTATGTAAAATTGAATATTTAATTATATTATATGGAAGTTTTATAAATAAAATACATTTTTCACATATATTTTGGTTACTTAGAATTTATAAAGAACTATTTCTTATGAGTTATTTAATATTTAAATTAAATATAAGAAATAATATAAAATATTGAAAATAAAACACATAATAACTTTATTTACTTTTATCTCTTTACTTAATTAAAAGATAACACACAGGTAAATATTAATTTATTTATATAAATTTCTTATTAGTTTAATATAACTTTTGAAACTCAGATCAAACAGTGTGCTGATGTGTAGAATATACATAACAAATAAACAATAATCATACTATAAGATGGTCACCTGTTTATAATATTTTTGATGAACCTTAATCCATTTGATATTGCTCCTGATTTACTTAATCTTCCTAATAATCTTACCTATACATGTGAAATTTGATATACTCAGTATTATAATATTTACAAATAGAAATCTCTTAAATTTTATTTATGACAAATAGAAAATAATCTCCTAAATTTTCATATGAAAAGCCTGTTTACAACTTTCACTTCAGATGGAACAACCATAATATAATTGTATCACAAACTCGCAATACTCAGAATAACATTTCAATTATTTTCCACAATTGACTTGTTTAATCTCACTCAGAGTCCCACATACGCCTCTTTATCCGGCCTTCATTTGCTACTTTGGTTAGAAAAATAAAAATGATTATGAAACAGACTACACTACTAATATGCAGAAAATCAACTCTTACATGGGTTTTATGGGTAATACTCTCAGCTTTCAATACAGACATAGTGTATTATTGAGGATGTCCCGGTATAGACCAGATCGACATTGATGATGCATAAAACGATTATCATCGAAGTCATGCATCTACGTCACTTTATTGATCCTTTTTCACTTGCACTTGCCATTCCATCCTTCTTGAAATAATCCGTACAAATAATCTATAGTAATAATGTAGTATATTAATAAACACGAGCTTTAGGAGGGAATGATTCCACCTCATCGTCCAACGTGTTCATGTGCACTGGCCTGTAATCTAATCTGACCTTTTCATTCTCCCAATATCTGCAAATCAATGCACAAAAGCTCAGTTAACTAAAGCAAGTCGTAGAAACAAGTATTTTAATCATCGAAAGTGTTGCGGTAGATCCAGCAAACAAAATTAAATTTTGTTAGAGATGGTCCACAGGCCCTGCACTTCAGAATTCTGCCTTGACAAAGCAAGAAGCCTAAAGGATCACTAACATAATATATAACCACGCCCACGGTCAACAGCACAACTAAAATACCTCACTCCCCACCTGACTGTTACCAGCTTTTCAACTTCTCTACTTCGCAAAATAACTAAGTCATTGTCCTAATTTTGACAGCTCTATACTGTAGCGAATATGATTTTTCACCTAAAATTACCAAATTCCACAAAAACATTTATCGAAATTTGCCAGCAAAAATCAATGCATGCTCGTTTTTGAATCATGTCACATTTCAACTTTCATGGGGTTTACTAATAAAAGACAGCAAAGACCCTGAATTACAGGCTTATCCCTTTCTGCAATGAAAACTAAACTACCCAGAGACGGAGGATCTTCCAGCAAGGACTACTTAAAAGATGGTACAAATTCCCACAGTGCAAACTAATTGTTGGGATAAATATATTTGATTAGCTAAATTATAGATTTGTATCGTCGTAAAAAATATTGTATAATCAAAACTTATATTATTTAATCCTGATTTATTTGAGTAAAATATTATAAGATCATAATATCTCGTGTACAAAAATAATATAAATAAAAATTATAGAATGAATTCTATGTTTTTTAATTTGGTACCATAACTTATAATTTTTTTCTTTTTCTTTCTAAATTCTTGGAGATCTTAATTGAAGAGATGTCAAAAAAACTAATTTCAATGGTTGTTCAATCTGAAGGTGTCTTTAACGTAGACATCATCCTACATGAATCTAATTATGACGTATGGTCACAATTAATAGAGATTCACATTGCAGAGAGAGAATAATTGTCCTACATCCGTGAGAAGGTGAAACCTCCAACAGAGAACGATGAGGGATATGAAAAATGGTATACTGAAAACCACAAAGTGAAAAGATGGCTATTGATCTCTATGAAGCCAGAAATCATGAAAAGGTATCTTCGCTTACTTACTGCCCTCGATATTTGGAATGTTTTGTCAAAGACATTTTATAATAGAAGTGATGAGCTATAGGTGTTTGCCCTGAATCAAAAGGCATTCACTGCAAAACAAAATACTAGAACCTTAACTGAATATTATGGGGAGTTGGTTAAAATATTTAGGGAATTGGACCATCATGACAAAGTAGTCATGAAGGACCCTGATGATGTGAAGTCATATCAAAAGTCCATTGAAAGATTAATGGTACATATATTCCTTACTGGACTGGATGATGATTTTGAGCAAGTTCGTGGAGAAATCTTGTGTAAGGAAGTGACACCTGATTTAGAAGAATGCTATGCATTAATCCAGAAAGAGACAGTCCGACGAACAACGTTGAAAACAGAAGATATGATTTCTGATTCCACAGCTATGATGACAAAGAAGTAGCCAGTAAATCATCACAGCAAATCGAAGCAATCAAAATATTTTGAAAAAGATAACTACAAGTGTACTCAGTGTAATAAGGATGGACACACCAAGGAACGATGCTATGAAATCATAGGATACCCCGAGTTGTGGGATCACAGTCGAGCATCGAAGAAGAATTAAAAAAGAAATCCAACTGCTGTTGCTGTAAATCTCATTGACAAAGAGGATGACAAAGGCATGATGCTTGCTACAATCGCAGGTAGTGATGATTCCAATGGTAAGACTTTAATAAGCACATCTACCGTTCTGAATAATGCATGGATAATTGACTCTGCATGTTCTGATCATGTGACTTTTGATGTTAGACAGATTAAAAATCTTAAACTTTCCTCACAAAAAAGTATTTCCACAGTCAATGGTAGTAAATCCATTATTATTGGAGAAGGAACTGTCTCTATTTCAAACAATTTGAATCTTGATACTGTCCTTGTTGTTCCTTCTCTTAAATATAACCTATTGTCAGTCTCGCAAATAACCAAAACTCTTTTATGTGTTGTAATTTTTGGGTCTGACTCTTGTGTTTTTAAGGACATTCAAACGAGGAAGACGATTGGTTGTGGTATTAGACGAGGAAGGTTGTATTACCTGGACCTGACAGAAAAATATTCAAAGAGACTTGGTCAAGTGCTAACAACAAAAGGGTCTCAAGAAGTAAGAAAAGACGAGGATATTTGGTTATGGCATAAACGTCTAGGACATGCATCTTTTGGTTACATAAAGAAATTATTTACAAATGTATTTGACCAAGTAGACACTTCAACTTTTTATTGTGATGTTTGTGAGCTTGCAAAGAGTCACAAAACATATTTTCCTTTAATTTCAAATAAAAGTTATCTTCCTTTTATGATCATTCACTTTGATGTATGGGATCCATCTAAGGTCACAACGTTGGATGGCTCAACGTGGTTTGTAACGTTTATTGATGAATGTACTCAAATGATTTGGTTATGTTTGATGAAATCTAAAAGTAAAGTTAGAGGACTATTTCAGAAATTCTGCAAAATGATTGAGACCCAGTACAAAACACAAGTTCAAGTACTGCGCAGTGACAACGAAGGAGAATATATGCAATCAGAACTTCAATATTTTTTAGTAGCCAAAAGAATTGTTCATCAGAGATCTTGTCGAAATACGCCACAACAGAATGGGGTGGCAGAACGAAAGAACCGTCATCTATTGGAGGTGGTCCGAGCTGCATTGATTGAAGCTCACATGCCAACAATATATTGGGGAGAAGCTCTCAAATATGCAGTATACACTATCAACCGAACACCGTCCAGGTCTCTTAAGTATAAAACACCTCTTCAATCACTTATAGATGCAGTAATAAGTCCTAAAATTGTTGAACTAATACATAGAGTTTTTGGTTGTGTTGCTTATGTTCACTTACACAAGCATCAGAGAAGTAAGTTGTCTCCTAGAGCTGAAAGGTGTGTGTTCCTTGGCTATGCGAATCACCCGAAAGGATATCGGTGCTACAATCCACAAACCAAGCAAATGTTTACTATTATAAATGTAGTTTTTCATGAAACCTTGATATATTTTTTCCCCGAGTATGAAATTCAGGGGGAGAATTATGATGAAGTTCAGACTTTTGTTCCTCAAAAAATTGATATTGAGGTCAAATTGGAGAAAGAAAGTTACAAAGTTGTATCAGGAGATATGAAATTATGCAACAATGTTATGATCAACAACCACATAATGAGGAAGATTTTGAGCATGTCGAGATCAAAAATTTGTCTATTGATGCTGATGATATACCACATCAATCGCCCCCTCAAGAACCTAATACAGAAAAAAGAATTATGTCAGATCGTGTCACTAGAGGTATCCCTAAACCTACTTATGATCCTGACCTCACCAATAAGACAAGATACCCTATGAGTAATTATGTTTGTAACCAGAATTTTTCTAACTCAAATATCGCATTTATAAGTCAATTATCTACTATATCTATTCCTAATAGTGTGTAGGAAGCTTTAGCTGACTCCAGGTGGAAAGATGTTATGAATGAGAAGACGCGATCCTTGCAAAGAAATAAAACATGAGAATTAGTAGATTGTCCAGTTGGAAAGAAACCAGTAGGATGTTGATGGGTGTATACTGTGAAATTTAATGCAGATGGCACAATTGAGAGATTCAAAGTTAGATTAGTGGCAAAGGGGTACACACAAACATCTGGAATAGATTACACTGAAATGTTTGCTCCCGTAGCTAAAATTAGTACAGTTCGAGTATTGTTATCTCTAGCTGTAAATCTTGATTGGTCCTTAGAACAATTTGACGTAAAAAATGCCTTCTTGCACGGGGAATTGTCTGAAGAAGTTTATATGGAGCTACCAGAAGGATGTGGGATCCCGAATACACATAGCAAGAAGGTATGCAATTTGAAGAAGTTATTGTATGGACTAAAACAATCGCCACGAGCATGGTTTGGTAGATTCACCAAGTCAATGCTTACTTTTGGATATCAAAAGAGCAAACAAGATCATACCTTGTTTCTAAAGAAAAAGGAAGAAAATATTACAATTCTTATTGTCTATGTTGATGACATGATAGTTACGGGAAACAATCTAGAAGAACGCAAGACATTGAAAGAGTACTTGGCAAAGAAATTCGAGATGAAGGATCTTGGTCCTTTGAAATATTTTCTTGGAATTGAGGTCTCAAGATCAAAGTCATGTATTTTTCTCTCACAACAAAAGTATGCACTGATTTACTGAAAGAAACTGGAATGACAACATGCAAACCAGCAAATTCTCCAAATGAAGAGGGATTAAAGTTGTGTATTGAAAAAGATCAAACTCCAACTAACAAGGGAAGATATCAGAGACTTGTAGGGAAATTGATGTATCTCACACACACTAGGCCAGATTTAGCTTATGCTCTTAGTGTGGTTAGCCAGTTCATGCACAATCTGTAACATCCAAGTATTTCCCAAAAATATTTCATTAATATTATAAAATATTTTGTCATTAACTTTAATAAAATGATATTATGAGTTATTTTAAGACTTGATAATTTTTAAAGATATTAATAAATAATATATATATATATATATATATATATATATATTATGAAATTTTTAATAGAGTGAAATAGATAAATTTAGAATTGAGTTTAAAATGAAGTAATAATAATAATAATAAGAGTAATATCATTAAGAAAAATTAGTAATATAATTTTCCATTGATGAAAGGATTTAATTGGTAAGTGAAAAAGTAAGTGAGGTAATTTTGGAAAGGAGGTTAAATTTAAAGAAGAGAAAGACCAATTTTCTTTCTCACTTACGTAAGCCATTTTGGGAGCACTGGAGGAAGAAGAGAAGCTTGATTTTGCTTGTCCACACCATCTTGGTTCATCCTTTTTGCAATTAAGAGTAAGATCCATGAAATTAAAGCATTGGATTTCAATATTATCTCCTAAAATCTTCTTAATCTCAAATATATGGTCATTTTGATGCTTATAGGAGATAAAATTTTCTTGAACTAAGGATCTCTATTTTCTTGTTTGAAAACTTCATTTGAGGTAAGGAGAGTCTTCTTGTCATCAACCCTAGGCTAAACCATCATTTATCTCACTTCTACATTAATTGGAACCAAATTAAAATGTTTTATAAAAATTTCGTATGGCTATTCTAGTATATTTAGATACTCTACAATGCTCCTTTCATATTTTAGAGTTTAGAAATGGATTCCTTGGATGTTAAAACCTAGAGTTAGCCATAAAAATCACTTAAATTGGATTTTTCTAGAGGAAGATGATGAAATATGTGTTGAGAGATGTTGTTGGACAAAAATCTGCATGTGAATTGAATATTTGAGAAATTATGTAAAAATATTTACTTGGTATTTAATTCTGAAATTTTGATTACATGTTCCTTTATATGTCTATTTTATGTGTGATTTATTTCAAAATTTTCTGACTAGTGAATTTTCGATGAAAAATCTTGGAAGTAAATAGGTTTTGAGTTGGGTGAAACAGAATTGTTATGTCCGCTCAAGCAACTTTGAAAAATCATATAAAATTGAAATTAAAGTTTTTTTTTAGATGAAATTTTTATCATAGTTGTGATTGTAAATATATGTTAAGCATATTTATTTTCATAATCTTATGAGCATTAATTTATTTTATAAAAATATATATTTGAGTAATGTCCTGATAGTGGAATCTTCAAAATGTATAAAAAGGGAGGAAAGTTTTGAATGACTTAGAAATCTTTAAATTTTGAGTTATAATTTTTATTATAATCCTAGAATATATGTATTTTGGACTGGAAAATTTCATAGAATTTGGAGTTAGTTTAGATGGCAAAGAATTTTTCCAAAGTTACACTTTTCTAATGTTTATGATAAACTTTTCTTCCTAGAGAAGTATAAACAAAACTTTAGTTCTGTACCTATTATTTATTTTATGAGTATGTATGATGTGAGAATGATAGTGTAATAAGATATTTTAGGACACAAGATTAGAATAACAAGAGTTTAGAAAATTTGATGGATCGCAATGTGTGCTGAGTCCGAGAGTGTCCGACTCTCGGTAAATTTTTATTGTTCTTGTTTGATGCAGGAAAATGTGTTTATAAATTTGATTTGAATGTATTTGTAAATTGGGAAATGTCCAAATTACAAAGGAGACTCTATCAAATTTTTGAAATTGATGAAAAATAAATAAAGCTTAATAAGAATGGTATAAAGAAACGTTATGAATAGTTAATGCATTCATAATCATGGTAGTTAGTGAAAATCATGTCTATAAGATGTTTGTGCTATGTGCTGAGTCTAAGTCAGATATGTTGGTCATCTAAAAATAGGGTATTAGGTCTATAGTGATATGGTCTATATGATGTAGAGTTTGTTCCTACCAAATATATTGTTGTTAAAGAGTTGGTGGTGTCACTCAGTGACGAGATATGTGTGTGGATGGTACGGAGATACACCGGGGGCTTAGGAGATAAGAGAAAATCAGATTGATCTTGGGAAAATATAGAGTGCATTGTTTGGTCACGCTCTATATTCCCGACTTGACTCTTTGACTTTGCCTTTTTGCCAAGGGATCGTTATGCATAACCATTGTATCTGTGATGCGCAGATCAACCGGCAACTATCTATACTTCTGTGAGCCATTTATGCTCGTGTGTAATTTTGTTATGTTTGTAAGAGTTGTCTGTACTTATGTGTGATCCTTTCATGGATTGAAAGATGAGATTGATAGTGTATCCTAGGTGCATGAGCATTTCAAATGTGGCAAAAATGAACGAATGAAACACAAACATGTATTGTGTGTTTTTAGTTTGAGTAATGTGATTTGTGGAAATTGTTTGAAATTTCTGTGTGGGATACTTTATTGAAAAAAAAATGAAATGTTTGACTATAAATGTTACATATGGTTTTAGATTGTAGAGGTTAGAAAAATTTTCGGTTTAGTGTTCTGGAGTGATGAGAAAAGAAAACTCATCCTTACTGTTATATTTCAGGTAATTATGGAACAATTGTGGTGGAGGAACCACAGTTTGATTGAATATCATATACATATGTATGGAAGAATGCTGCCCTCCGGGAGGGGTATGATCTTGTATAAGAAAGTTAAGAATTTTGGGTACCTGCTCTAATTAGGATTTGCTTTATTTTGAGATGTATAAATTTAAAATTAAGTTCTAATCGTTTAAAGGTACAAACTTTATGTAATTTTAGTATGATCCTTGTTGGATTAGTTATTTTGAAAAACAATGTATTATGATTATGGATGTATATGTATGAATATGTTTGACACATCTATATATATTCATTAACGCATGATCAGTTTTAAAGTTCATTGTCATAAAGAAATAATATTGTAAAAAAAAAATTATTCCCATTTTTGAGAAATTAAATAAATTAGAAAAAAAAATGACGTTACACAATTCAAGTGAAAAACACATGGATGTTGTTATACGAATTGTAAGGTACATAAAAGCTGCTTTTGGAAAAGGAGTTATGTTCAAGAAGAACTCCAATTACAAGGATGTGATGGTTTATACTGATGCAGATTAGGCAGGTGCTCTTGATGATAGAAGATCAACCTCTGGATACTTTACATTTGTAGGAGGTAATCTTGTCACATGAAAAAGCAAGAAGCAGAAAGTTGTAACTAGATCCAGTGCAGAAGTTGAACTTAGAGGAATGATTCTTGGACTTTGTAAAAGTTTGTGGCTCATACTACTTCTCCAGGATTTACTCACAATCCTGTCAAACATGATCGGATGAAGCATGTGGAGGTTGATAGATTTTTCATCAAGGAAAAATTTGATAAAAATATTCTGGAATTGTCAAATATTTGATCTGAAGATCAGCCGACAAACATTCTTACCAAAGCTGTGACAAGTCAGATTTTTAGGAGATTATTGGACAAGTTGGGAATGTATGACATCCATTTACTAACTTGAGGGGGAGTGTTGGGATAAATATATTTGATTAACTAAATTATAGATTTGAATAGCGATACAAAATATTGTATAATCAGAGCTTCCTTTCTTTAGTTCTGATTTGTTGGAGTAAAATACTATAAGATTATAATATCTGTGTAAAAAAATAATATGAATAAAAATTATAGAATAATTTGTAAGTTTTTCAATTCTAATTGCGTCACTGGCTTATTGACTGTTTGGCTTATCTACCAATAAAAGAGAATCAAGACGCAAGCTGTGATGCACTTACGAATCAACAGGATTGTATACATTAAAAGCACCAGGATTCTCACTAAAAATGAATAGAACAACTTAATCCAAATATCTACAGATGTAAATAGCAAATTAATTGAAACATGACTTACCCCAAAGTGTGTTTCATCCAGTTTTCATCGTCTCTTTTCTGTAAATTAAAAACAAGCACCCTAACTAATCAGACCTACTGTTCATATCAATGGGGTGAAATATACACAGTAGATACCACAGTAGCTTATACTAACCGTGTAGTCCTCACGGGCATGAGCACCTCTACTCTCTTTTCTTGCTTCAGCAGAGTGCATGGTGATGCAGGCATTTATCAAAAGATTTTCCAACTCAATGGTCTCGATCAAGTCAGAGTTCCTGAGAATATTGAGCCACTTTAAAATGAACAAAAAGATTTACTTGAAATAATAAGGAAACAAGTGACATTGGCCTAAGAATCTTTACCATATCAAACTTCGATCCTTCAAGTCGACATCCTGGAAGCTCTCCCATGTTTTATCAATTAATTGACAACCTGTCACGGGGAATAGGATATTCAAAGAAAGAAGATAACTATAGGGGAAGTAAAGGTGATACGTGTACCTTCTGAAAAAGAAGGGATAAGAAGAAGGACAAGTATTATTGATCAACAAAGTACTACCTTCTTCTAATGTTTCTTGGGTACGAAACACAGCAGCATTGTTTTGCATTACTCGTTGCATATTTAACCGAATTTTGGAAGTTGGCAATGACCCATTTGAATTTCTCAATTTGTCCAGCCAAGCAATTGTTTTCATACCAGCATCTTCCTCTAAAGGCTTCTGTTTATCTCCTGCAAAATATAAAACAGGTGACTTTTGTTCTCATTTCAGCGTGCACAATCTACTAATAGCTGAGAATGAATCTTGCCTGGCCTACAGATTTCAGCAACTCTATTTGCACAAGCTCTACCAAAAACAACAATGTCAAGAAGTGAATTTGCACCAAGCCTATTGGCACCATGAACTGAAGCACAGGCTGTTTCCCCAGCAGCCATTAATCCAGGAACTACTGTATCTGGATCATCGCCTTTAATGGTAACCACCTGAACAAGAAAAAGGGCCTATTAGACAACAATTTTCATTTTACATTTTCGCTTTCTGTTTAAAGAAAAATTAAAAGAAATATAACAAATCCAAAGGACAAGATAACACGTCTTATACTAACTGCACACATGACCGTATAAGATTGACTTAATTAAATCCAAACAAGTAATCGAGTAAGCCATACACAAAAATTAATAAAATAAGATATCACTAATGTGACAGACAAAACGAAATAGAGAGAACCAAATGCTATACATACATATTCAAATTCCTGGAGAAACAATTTGAGAGATTATTAATTATTGGCTAGGGAAAATCACAAAAAAAAAAAAAAAGGATTTGTGCAAGAGTCTCCCTCCTAGTTAGAAGTGAAATGGTGCAAGTTACTTACAATATATACATCTAGTAATGGGAATAATGTAACAACACTACAGGTACAAAATAGTTCACAAAAATGTTAGAGTGACATTTAGGTGTCAACATGACTTCCTACCTCATGATCTTGTAATAACTTAATGTATGACGGTCACAACAGGCGGCATGACCCAATTTGGTTTAGACTATGTAAAAAAGGTTGATGAACCCTACATTCTAAATCAATCCGATATATATCTTAAAACATATCATAATTTTTTCTTAACTTTATTCTAACTGAATAATTTTGATTTAGTTAAAAATAAATAAATAAAAAATAATAACATGTTTATTATTATTATTATTATTATTTATTTATTTTTTAACAATCTAATAATTTAAAATAATAATTCATGTTAATTATTACATCTTGAAAAAAAAGTAAATATTATAGAGTTACTCTTATCATTATTTTTTAAGATAAAAAAATCCTTATTAAATTAATTTATAATAAATATATATTTTTTAATAAAATAATATTATTTTTGTTTCAAAAATAACAATTATGTTATAAAAAGGATTAATCTACAGATCTATAAATTAACTTGTTCTAAATTTATTTAAGTTATAATCTAAACAAATCGGTCAAAATTTGTCTAATTTAATTTTAGGGGATAAATTTGTGTACGTTACCTAACTCATTTCTCGGGTGGACCCATTAAAGTAAACCACGATCTTATCTTCATGATCAAAATCAACCCATAAAGTAAACCCACAATCTCGGGTGGACCCATTAAAGTAAACCCACAATCTCGCCTAACTCATTTTAGGCTTCTTATGGGTTTCTAACTGTTCCTATGATGTATAGAAAACATCTAAATATCTAATAAAACTGTTTGGGTCTTTAGTAATAGTACAAATTAAATAGAAATTTGTTTTAACAATATAGAATAATCCAATCATTTCTGACACATTTTACTCCCTAATTTTGTGTAAGGGTACATAACTACAAGCCAATATAAATGTTGGAGTTATCTTGGCTTTGTAGTTCTCAAAACAATTATATGCTGTGGTATGTGTTCGTGTCAACTACTGTGCATCAAGTAACCAGAGAGCACTAATTTATAATAACCTTAAACAGTTTCTCTCGAAAAAATAAGTACAGGTATGACAGTTACTAATTAAATTTAGTCTTTATTTTTAGTCAGTTTCTAATATTTTTCTTTCTTTCTTTCTTTCCTCTTCTCAAATGGAGTTTAAACAATTAGTGTTAACATTTTACCTCTCCATGATGATTTGTGGGAATACCACCCATGTTATAATGCACTGTTGGCAAAACAGGAATAGGCTCCTTAGTAACATCCACACCAGCAAAAATAGCAGCTGTTTCAGAGATACCAGGTAGTCTCTCCTTGAGAACATCTGGGGGCAAGTGATTCAAGTGGAGATAGATGTGATCTTTCTGGGGTCCTGCAAACAATTTCCACTGTCAAATTAATTGCCCAACTTAACTGGAAGGTCAAATATTTTCCAATAGAGGGAGGGAATACAAAGGTCAAGGTGCAAGAAATTATCGTGTATATCTTGTTTCTAGAAGACATAACATCCCACTAAAGTAATATAGCCACAATTATATGCCAAACTAACAGCATAGATATATGTTAGTATAATTTTTTTTATCAGAACATAAAAACGTTAATTTAAAGCCAGTATACCTACACCACGGCCTTCCCGTATTTCCATAGTCATTGATCTAGAAACAACATCTCTTGATGCAAGATCCTTTGCAGTAGGAGCATATCGTTCCATAAACCTCTCACCCTCACTGTTCCTCAGAATTCCACCTTCACCTCGAGAACCTAAAAGGTCCAAGAAAGAAAATGAGAAGCAATATATATTTCAACCAAATCAACCAATCAAAAGATGGCCTATGCATAAATAAGAACTAAAGACATTTCAACCTTCCGTGATAAGGCAGCCAGCTCCATATATGCCTGTAGGGTGAAATTGTACAAACTCTAAATCCTTCATAATTTATTAAAATAAAATGTGAGTGTTAAAACTTGCTATATAATATTTCAGCTTAATAACAAAATTTGCAAAGCCCAAAAGTAGACCTCAAGTGGGATCCCAGCACGTGCAACCATGGCATTGCCATCTCCAGTGCATGTATGTGCTGAGGTAGCAGAAAAATATGCTCTACCATAGCCCTGATGCGAAACAGAAGATTAACACATACATGTTCACAACAAGTAAAGTATATGTATAAACTTCAATGTCTAACATGCCAAAGAAAATAATATACCCCTGTGGCCAAAATTGTTGAAGCTGCTTGGAAACGATGTAATGTTCCATCCTCCATATTCAAGGCAATCACTCCTTGGCAACTACCTGTATTTCCAATAAGGAGAATTTCTTAACTTTATTATCAACTCCAACACATAAACAGTCAGAAACATCTTTTCTTTTCTTCAACACTGAAATGTTGGACAAAGCAGTGAGCATCACAATCAAGTAACGGCATATTTGTAATATGATAGTTGTGAGAAAATATGCAATAAGAACATATAGCCAATGTAAAATCTCACGTCTTAAATCTATATAAAAAAGAAGAGTATTTTTTGGAGTACCATTCATATAAATGGACTACAACTGTAAAGAAGATTTAACAATTTTACTCATTACTTATGCTCTTCTCCCACCTATGCTGCTGTCTGCACTTTGGTCATTATATGACCAAAGGAATCAACAGGAAGGTTGTGAGAGGAAATCCAAATTCTTTAGATTTCCCATAAATGCGCAAAAAACAAAAGTTTCAGTTTATACTTTCTACTATCACATTTTATTTATTAACTCTAGTTTCCAGAGTAGCTGGGACAAAATGTTATAAATCCCTCATGTTTGCAACTGAATTTTGAATTGCTTTCCTAGCATATTGGACATACCAACATAATGTGGTATTATACCTTTAAACCCATACTTTCCCTGTCTGCGTTTTGTAGACAAATAAGTATCTAAATAAAACACTCAGTATATTATCACTTTGATATATTTGCAATGAGTGATGCATGGTCAATTTATAGGCCCTTTGGATATGGCCTCTCAACTACATGCATTTAATACAACTACTACCTTTCAACTACATACATTCAATACAATAACTACCTCTCAACTACTACCTCTATAACCACTACCTCTCAACTACATGCATTTAATGTTTACCTAACAAAATCCCCCCATAAACTTAAAAGCTTTTCTTGTCCTTCATTCCAAGCATCTTCTTGTTGTTCTCGAACAGAGTGGTTGACAGTGGCTTCGTGAACATATCTGCAGCTTGTGTTCGGGTTCCGACGTGCTCTAACTCCACATTTCCTTTTTTCACTTGTTCTCGGATGAAGTGAAACCGAACATTAATATGTTTGCTTCTCTCATGATTGACCGGATTCTTTGCCAATTCAATGGCCGACATGTTATCAACTCGAATCACAGTCCCTCTTTCTTGCTTCAACTCCAGCTTGCTTAGAAGGTTTCTAAGCCAAACTGCATGACAGACACTCCAGGATGCTGCAACGTACTCGGCTTCACAAGTTGACAACGTTACAATGGGCTGCTTTTTTGAAAGTCAGGTGAATGTTGTGTTTCCCATGAAGAATACATATCCAGACGTGCTTTTCCGGTCATCAACATCTCCACACCAGTCACTATCTGAGTAGCCTACTAGTCGATAATCATCCGTCCTAGTATACATTAGGCCAAGTGACACTGTTCCTCTCACATACCTTAGAATTCTCTTTAGTGCCTTCCAATGAGTATACCTTGGCTCCTCCATATATCGACTTGCTATTCCAACACTTAGCATTAAATCTAGTCCGGTATTTGTAAGATACCTAAGACTTCCAATCGGACTTCGGTATTTGCTCGCATCAACTCGGTCTCCATCTCGCATACTTAGAAAGTTTTGTACCAGGTTCCATAGGGGTGGAAACCGGGTTGCAACTTGTCATCTTAAACTTCTTCAAGATCTCCTCAAGCATACCTTTCTCGCGACACAAAGATGTCATCCTTTCCCCGAACAACTTCTAAGCCAAGAAAATACTTCATATGACCCAAGTCAGTCATCTCAAACTCCTTCTTCATCACTTCTTTAAACTCTTCAATTAGCTCAACATTATTCCCCATGAAGATAAGATCATCAACATATAGGGCAACAAACATCACATCTTCTCCTTTCTTCTTTATGTATAGAGCATGTTCATAGGGACACTCGCTCATATCCATTCCTTTTGAAGTAAGTGTCAATTCTTTCATTTCATGCTCGTGGAGCTTGTTTCAAGCCATAAAGTGCCTTCTTCAATCTCGGCACTTTCTTCTCTTCTCCTCTTCGCATGTATCCGAGTGGTCAGTTCAACATATACTTCCTCCTCCAAGATTCCATTCGAAATGCCGACTTCACGTCCATCTCGCAAGATTGTCCATCTCGTGTTGAGCTCGCTAAGGAAATCAGCAACCTAATTGTTTCCATTCTCGTCATCGGGCGAATACTTCGTCATAGTCTATTCCTTCTTTCGCTTGTACCCCTTCACTACGAGTCGAGCTTTATATCGCTCAACTTCTCCTTCAGCATTTGTCTTCTTCTTGTACACCCACTTTACGCCGATAGGTCGTGCTCCTTTGGGCAAATCAGTTAGCTCCCATGTGTTGTTGCGTTCTACTGCTCCGATCTTCGCGTCCATTGTCTTTCTCCATCTTTTCTCCTGCACGGCCTCTTCAAAACTTAAGTCTTCTGAATCTGCCAAGAGACATACAACATGCACTTTGTCAGTGGAGTTGTATATATCTTGTAAATTTCGCGCTCCGGGTCAGTAGAGTTCATCTTCTTCATCGGAAGTCTCATGATCTCTCACAATATGTGGTGTATCAACTTCCGAGCTTCTACTTCCTATGGACTCCTTCTCCGGGTTGTTCCAACTCCACTCGCTTTCTTCATCAATTTGAACATCTCGGCTCATGATGACCTTCTTAGTTATTGGGTTAAACAACCTGTACGCCTTGGTTTTTTCATCATACCCAATAAACACGTACTTTTACTTCTATCTTCGAGCTTGGTCCTCTGTTGAAGCTGGAACATGACCATAAGCTATGCTACCGAACACTTTAAGGTGAGACACACTCGGTTTTCTTCCACTCCAAACTTCTTGCGGTGTCTTCTCGTTCGACTTAGCATGTGGACATCTATTTTGCACATAGATGGCACATTGCACTCGCTTCGCCCGAACTCCTTTGGCACGTTTTTGCTTCTCAACATTTTTCGAACCATGTCAAGAATGGTTCGATTCTTCCTCTCGGCAACTCCGTTTTGTTGGGGTGAGTATGGTGCTGTCAGAAATCTCCTTATCCCTTGCTCCTCGCAATACTTCATGAGTTCGGATGAAATGAACTCGTCTCCTCGATCAGACCTAACAGATTTGATAGGCATGTTAGTCTCTTTCTCAACCATTGCTTTAAATCTCTTGAACACCTCAAACACCTCGGATTTCTCCTTCAAAAAATATACCCAGGTTTTTCTTGAAAAATCATCTATAAAAGAAATGAAATACCTTTTCCCACTGAAGGACTCAGGGGTAATCGGTCCACAAATATCTGTGTGAATCAATCTGAGTTGTTCCTTTGCACGGTACTCGGCCGTCCTCGGAAATGAGGTCCTTGGATGCTTCCCGAGCACACACTCTTCACATAATTTCTTTTCAAATTTAATAGACGGGAGTCCTCGCACCATCTCTTTCTTTACCAACTCGGTCAGTCCGCCAAAATGCAAGTGGCCAAATCGAAAGTGTCACATCATTGCTTCATCCTTCACGTCAAGTTTCAAGCACCTCTCTTGGACTATCTTCAAGTCCAACTTGTACATTCTGTTCTTCTTCATTTCTACTCGGGCAATCAAACGATCCGACTTGTCCTTCGAGTATAGTACTCGGTCTTTCATCGAACCGAGTAGCCTTTCTCCATCGACTGACCCATACTCAATATGTTGCTTTTGAAATCGGGTACATAGTACACGTCTCCGATTTCTCCAACTCGGCTATTCTTCGCAGGTACCGGATTGTACCTCCGCCTTTACTCGCCACCTTTGATGCATCTCCAAATGACACGTGTCCGACCTCAACTTTAGTGAGCTCCTTAAAAGGTTTTCGTCCCCGCACATGTGGTTACTTGCTCCTGTATCAAGATACCAAACCGAGTTGTCAGAACAGCTCGGACTTAGCTCGACATCCGAACTTCTTGACATCATCAATACTCCTTCTTCCTCAGTGTCCTCAGAGAGGAGGTTTGTCTCCTTCTTCCTCTCAGATCGGCAGTCCTTCGCGAAATGCCCAACCTTCCCATAATTATAACATTTGATACCCGAATAACGAGTCCTTAGCAAAATGACCGTACTTCCCACATTTGAAGCACTCAACTCCGAATTGCTTGATCGACCACCTTGGCCTCTACCGTCACGACCTCTACCTTGTCTTCGGCCATGCCAGTTTTCTTGACTGACTGGCTCCTTGCCTCTTTCATATTCTCCTCTGCCTCTACCACCTCGGCCTTGAGTGTTCTGAGCATAAGGAACCTTCTTCTCCTTTAAGGTTGCCTTTGCTTGGAGTGCTTGATCAAGGGACTCCTCTTTCTTCTTCCTTCTCCGCTGCTCATGCGCTTCAAGCGACCCGGCAAGCTCTTCCACCGAGAGCACCGACAAGTCCTTGGACTCTTCTATTGCACAAACGATATTCTCAAAATCGTCAGTTAACGACCTTAAGATTTTCTCCACCACTCGGCAAGTGGGCAGCGTCTCTCCATTTCTTCCGAGTTGATTCACCACGGTCTCAACACGGGAGATGTACTCGGCAACCCCTTCGACCTCTTTCATCCTCATGCTTTCAAGCTTGCCTCTAAGAGTTTGAAGCCTGACTTGCTTCATGCGATTATCCCCTTTATATGCCTTCTCCAGGATATCCCACGCTTCTTTTGAAGATTTAGCATTTGCTATCTTCTCAAAGTCGGACTCATCAACAGCTCGGTACAGTACGTACAAAGCCGTTTTGTCCTTTACTCATGTTGCTCTCAATGCAGCAAGCTGAGCAATAGTCTGCTCTTCAATATTCTCTGGTTCTTGGTGCCCATTTTCGACCACATCCCATACTTCTTGGGAACCAAGGAGAGCCTTCATTTGCAGACTCCAGTTATCATAGCTTACGCCTTTTGATAACTTTGGTAGGGGCATGCTGTTAGCTAAGTTGGTCATCTCAAACAAACTCTCTAACTCTCAAACACTCTCTCTAACGCACTCAGACACTCAGGCTCTCAAGCTCTATACCAATTTGTAGACAAATAAGTATCTAAATAAAACACTCAGTATATTATCACTTTGATATATTTGCAATGAGTGATGCATGGTCAATTTATAGGCCCTTTGGATATGGCCTCTCAACTACATGCATTTAATACAACTACTACCTTTCAACTACATACATTCAATACAACAACTACCTCTCAACTACTACCTCTATAACCACTACCTCTCAACTACATGCATTTAATGTTTACCTAACACGTTTTAGTAGCCATTGTCACGCAGAAGAAAAATTACCAAAAGAAAAATTCTGTAATTTTTATCTTTGTATTATAGCTTTGGCAACACTGTATGTCTTTTTCTCTGTCAGTGATACAAGTATTGTTGGAATTTAACAGATTATTATCAAATATTAGAATATTTGAACATGTGAAAGAAAAAATCAGACTCAAAAATGAAAATGCGGATGCATAAAATCTACTTGAAGGATATAATTTTCCATCAGCATAGAAATTTTCTAGTCATGTGCTATTAAATCCTTTCCTTTGAATGTTGATACCTTGTTCAATTAATTGATTGCAAATTGTTCATTGGGAGCAAATTACTCTCTACAGAACCTTACCATCGCTGTTCATTAATAGATCTAATGCAAAATATTCCACAAAAAACTGGGTATTATGTCTCATAGCTTGGCCATAAAGAGTGTGCAATAAAGCATGCCCAGTTCGATCAGCAGCACATGCACAACGATATGCCTGACCACCTGTAGAGCATACCAACATAAAGAAAGAAAGTCAAATTCAGAACTCTCAGATAAAAGTGCTAATATTCCTCCTCCAAAATCTGCATTTACCTTTTCCAAAGTTCAAGCTCTGACCACCAAATGCACGCTGGTATATTTTTCCATCTTCAGTTCGTGAAAATGGCAGTCCATAATTCTCAAGTTCTATGACTGCTTTTGGTGCCTCCCTACACATATATTGGATGGCATCTTGGTCCCCTGCAAAACAGGGAGGTTACCTTTTTCACGTCCAAAAAAGAAAGAACAGACACAAAAAGAATATATACTAGCCATGATATTAATAACGGCAAACATCTTCTAGTTGTATAAATTTTGTAGGACATAACAAAAAGGGTAAACTTCTAAGAAATAGCAAGTTCATACCAAGCCAATCACTTCCCTTGACAGTGTCGTACATGTGCCACCTCCAATCATCTTCAGTCATATTTCCCAATGCAGCATTTATACCACCCTACACACAAACATGTTCCCATGCTTGAGCATAATCGGATTTAAGAAGAAAAGGTTGGAATGGTTACAACTTAATACACTTTGGAGCATCAACCAGTACTTTTTACTTCAAAAACTAATTATACAAAACAATAAAACATAATGATATGGTATAAAAGGAAGCCAAATCCTCGTTCATTATTCTAAAACAATAGCCAGAATAGATGTCTTTCATCCCCTAAAAGCAGTGCCAAACAAAAATGAAGTGCCTTATTGTGTTAAGAGCCAGAATACATTACATCACAGAACCTAATCTACTAACCAGTGTAGAATAAAATTTATAACATGCCTAAAAGTTTCTCCGAGCAAGTCTGACCATCAGAGAGATAATAAATTAAAAGAAATTAGTCAGGTTACCACTCCAATATTCATCTAGTGGGTGGTCAAAATGAATGAACTTAATTGAACTATAGTAAACTGAACTAAACTCAACAAGTGGTTCGACAAAACTGAATTGTATAGATGTTTACATGAACTAAACTGCATTATAGTTTAAGTGAACTACTTTTAATTGCTGTTAAAATGCTTTAACTAACTGAATTATTTGAACCATTACCAACGGACATCTTATTTTGAAGCATATTTTTCAATCTTATAAGTTATAGTTCAGTTCAGTTCAAGAAGTTCTATTTAAGAGGCAGTTGTTGTAAAAGCTGACAGTCACACAAACAAACTTTATTCGTGAGGCGTGTATAAGCACTGCTCTTAAGAACTTATCCGCGGTGTGTTGCGCAAGTCCCCCAAGATACACCAGGAAATTCTCGGAATATTCGAGGATATCAGAAACTAGCAAGAAACTCTCAAAAGAGTAAATTTACCCAGGATGACAGAAAGAAGATTAGAGGAAAGAAGATGAGAGAGGTGTGTTTCTGAAGAGTGTGAAGTGGTATCTATTTATAGGAGAAAATCTGTAGCAGTTATGGGAAGACTTGGTAGTGAGTATGTAACGTTCTCTGAAACCGTCTTCTGCAACGTGTGAGAACACGATCTCTGAAACAGTCTTCTGCAACGTGTGAGAACACGTTGAAACGGTCTTCTGCAACACGTTCTCTGAAATGGTGTTCTGCAACGTGTGAGAACACGTTTTCTGAAACGGTCTCTACAGCTTGTGGAAACATGTTCTAAGTTTTACAATACCCCTTAATTTACAACAATCCCCCACATATTGCAAAACAAAAAGGAGATAAAAGAAGAAAATTTTGCGTCTCATAAAAGATGTAATGCATCAGAGCTGGTATAACAACCTATATGAACCCGTCTTAGACTGAAAAACTTAACACACAGTGTAGTTGGTGTAGCAAGCTATATGAACGAAAACACTTAATGTGTGTTAACGGTTTTAACAATCATAATACACCCTCACAATTCTTGTTGTTATTGTTGTGTTGCGCTTACTAGGTCATGCGTGTGCCCGATATTCATGAGTACTGTAGAAATCTTGCAAAGATCTCATACAAGCGGCCCCATTCGACACTCATAGGTGACTTCATCAAGCGTATGCTGCAAATCATACACCACCCTTAAGGGATATGAAATCGTTAAAAACTTTGTTTAGACTAAAATTTGTACACCACATGAAATTTTAATTACAAAGTTTAACCTCTCAATGATGCAGTATCTAACACTTTCACATATACACCATAGGCATCGGCATAATTGATTTTAATCAATTTTAGTGCTAGCAGAAGTAACAAGTGACTTGTTTTTACCCATATGAACCTTATTCATAGGATCTCCAATCACAAAGGTTGGGTTACCATCACCTGTTTGTTTACAAGTTGCTTAAGTCTCATTCCCCTCGATGTTTCTAAAATCATATTTCTCGCTAAGGGTTTTGTCAGAGGATCTGCTAGATTCCGTTCTGACTTCACATAGTCAATGGAAATTGTTCCATTCTTTAGCAACTACTTCACTAAGTTATGTCTCAATTGTATATGTTTGTTTTTTCCTGTAGTTCTTATTTTTAGCTATAGCTATTGCCGATTAACAATCAAAATGTATTGATACAGACGGGGTCGGTTTCATCCCTAATGGATTATTTACTAAGAAGTTTTTTAACCACTCAACTTCACTACCAGCCATATCAAGAGCATCAAATTCAGATTACATTGTTGATCTTGCAATAATTGTCTGCCTGACTGATTTTCATGTAATCGCACCACCCCCAAGTGTGAATACATAACCACTAGTGGATTTTGTCTCATCTGAATCAGATATCCAATTAGCATCAATGTACCCTTCTAGTACAGCGGGAAATCTACTATATTCAATGGCATAATCCATTGAACCTCTTAAGTATCTCATAAGTCTTGTAAGTGCATTCCAATGTTCTTGATTAAGACATTGAGTGTACCTACTCAGTCTACCTACTGCATAAACAATGTCAGGTCTAGAAAAACTCATTAAATTCAGTAAGCTCCCAATTACTTGGGCATACTAAGGTTGAGAGATTGAGTCTCCTCTATTTTTTTAACTTAGAGTTAGCGTCGTAAGGGGTATTCACTAGTTTGACGTTATAACGTCCAAACTTCCTAAGAAGTTTCTCAATATATTATTTTTGGGATAGAAAAATACTATCATCCTTCCTTATGATTTTAACTCCTAAAATCACATTGGCTTCACCCATATCTTTCATTTCAAATTTAGATCCCAGAAACACCTTAGTTCGAGAGACAATGTCAATGCATGTACTAAATATTAGCATATCATCTACATGTAAACATATAATAACACATTCACCACTCTCAAATTTAGAATACACACATTTATCAACATCATTGATTGAAAAGTCATTACAAAGTAGAACACTATCAAGTTTTTCATGCCAATGTTTTGGTACTTGTTTTAATCCATATAAGGATTTTAAAAGTATCCACACTTTGTTCTCTTGACCTGGAACAACACACCCTTCAGGTTGAGTCATATAAATTTCATTCTCTAATTCACCATTAAAAAAGGTTGTCGTAACATCCATTTGGTGTATAACTAGTTTATGGATAGCTGCTAGAGCTAACAAAACTCGAATAGAGGAAATCCTAGTCACAGGGGCAAAGGTGTCAAAATAATCAATGTTGGATTTTTTAGTAAAACTATTTGCTACAAATCTTGCCTTATATTTATCTATGGATCCATCAGGATGATACTTTTTCTTAAAGATCCACTTACAACCAATATGTTTTGTTCCTTTAGGCAAATCTACCAAATTCCAAGTATTATTTTTTTTAATTGAATCAATTTCAGTCTTAATGGTCTTATCCCAATGTATTGCATCAGGAACCCTATTAGCCTCTAAAAAACTCATTGGATCATTTTCAACTAGATAAGTGTAGAAATCATCTCCAAAGGAGGTTTCCTTCCTCTGTCTTTTACTTCTCCTCAAATCCTCATATATTTTATCACTATTAATATCTATAGATTGTTTAGGTGTCTCACTAACCTTTAGAAGAATAATATGTTCAAAGAACTTAACATTTTTTGTCTCCAATATAGTATTATACTCAATTACATCAATTTTTAGAACAAGAAACCTATAGGCAGCACTATGTTCTGCATAGCCTAAAAACATACAATCAGAAGTTTTAGAACCTATTTTTCTTTTCTTATGATTGGGTAACATTACCTTAGCTAAGCACCCCCACACTCTTAGATATTTAAGATTAGATTCATAACCTCTCCATAACTCATAGGGAGTTTTACCAGTTTTCTTAAAAAAACATTATGTAAGTATGTTCTCAGAGGTTATTTGATGCACTAGAATTGTTTGATTAAGTATAGTTTGGTGTATGTAGAGTAGTCTTCTATAAATGTCACAAATCATATGAATCAATAATATAAGCAGAAGAACAAGATTTATTAACAACCTCAGATATTTTAAGTACAACAACAAAAAACCTTGATCACAATATCCTTCCCTACAAACATTTTATTTTTTGTCATAACAATCTTATCAGATTCGAATGACACTTTAAACCCAACTTTTCCCAACAGTGCTACAGATATTAGATTAGCTCTGATTAATGGCACATGTAGCACATCATTCAAGGCCAGAGTCTTTCTAGATGTGAGTTTTAGAAGTACTTTTCCTTTTCCTAAGACAGGAGTTGTCCTGAAATCACCGAGATAAACATGTTCTTCTCCATCCCCACACTAGTGTAGGAGGTAAAAGCACTTCTGTTTGCACAGATGTGTCTGGTAGCACCAGAGTCTACCACCCATTTGCTCATATTTGTCACAAGGTTTATTTGGAAAACAACCGCAATAATTGTATCTTCTCATTTCGTTAAATTTGCCTTAGGAGGATTGTTGTTTCTCATCCCACGTCTACACTAAGGTGCATGATGACCTTACTTTCCACAAAAAACAATTTTCCTTCTTGAGTGTAAAGTGGGATTAGATCCACTAGTTTCATACCGTCTCAACCCTTTCTTATACATAGGTACAAAATAATATGGGAACAAAATAATATTCTACTTTACATATGTACAAAATAATATGTGGACAAAATAATATTCTACACATATGTACAAAATAATATGTAGATCTAAGTCATACATTGTATACATGTAACTGCTAATTATTCACAAAGAAAATCTCCCATAACATGTAATAATTTTGCATAATTTCTCCCATGACATAAAATAATTATGCATAATGCATTTTTCATTTTCTCTGTTGCATTGATGACATCACTTTGATCCAAAAATTTTCTATCATAATTATAACTTCCAAACATTTTCTATCATAATTATAACATGTAGTGAAACCAATTTCATACATGATTCACCTTTAACCCAATCACATCATTTGTCTTTTCAATAAGAATTGCAGGGTCATTCACATTTCAATAAGAAATTGATTGTAATTGAAAACATAAATTAGGATTCATTTTAATATGATATAGAAATCTTAAATTCATAATTAGGATTTATTTTAATTTGGAAAAAGCTTATAATTATCTTTCTTTCACTATCCAATATTGTAAAAATGTGGAAGAAAGTTGTTGATATTCGATCTGTCAACCTTAAGTCGTTAAGATTGTTGTAAAAACTGACAGACACACAAACCAACTTTATTCATGAGGCATATATAAGCACTGCCCTTAAGGACTTATCCGCGGTGTGTTGCGCAAGTCCTTCAGGATACAACAGGAGCTTCTCGGAATATCCGAGGATCTCAGAAACTAGCAAGAAACTCTCAAAAGAGTAAATTTACCAAGGACGACAGAAAGAAGATTAAAGGAAAGAATATGAGAGAGGTGTGTTTCTGAAGAGTGTGAAGTGATATTTATTTATAGGAGAAAGTTTATAGCAGTTATGGGAAGACTTGGTAGTGAGTCTGTAACGTTCTCTGAAACAGTCTTCTGCAACGTGTGAGAACACGTTCTCTGAAACGGCGGTTTTCTGCAAAGTGTGAGAACACGACGGTCTTCTGCAACGTGTGAGAACACATCCTCTGAAATGGTCTTCTACAACATGTGAGAACGCATCCTCTGAAACGGTTTCTACAGCTTGTGGGAACATGTTCTAAGTTTTGCAATACCCCTTAATTTACAACAATCCAGTCTAAAAAAAACTAAACTAAAATAAAAATTGAGTTCATTTTTTTTTTCAAAGCAATCCAGTTTCGTTTTATGTAATTCAATTCAGTTCAGCACCAATTTGGTGCAATTCAATTTGTTTTTCCCAGGCAAAATTAAAACCGCATCAATAGGCCTCATTCGGTGGTCGATGAATAGATTTGTTTGGAACAAATAAGCAAATTAGCAGCCCCTTCAAGCTATAGGCTTATTAGCTCCCAGAAAAATGGAAATTACATTCAATATCCTTGAACGAGTGCATTCCGTCTAAACCAAATCGCTCTTAATGTCATGATCCTCTGGGACTAATTTGGTCATCAGAACACAAGTGTTGGTCCCATTATTTAGAGATTAATTAGTATGACCAACAAACTAATTTTATTTTATTATTACTAACCCTTACTAAATGAAAAACTTCACGCATTCAGACAAGTAGTGCCACAGTAAAAGCAACCGAATTACCCAAAAACAAAAGGTCGATAAAAAGCGAAAATCCTAAATGACGACAAACAAGTAACATGCATTAACGCAAAAACATGGAAAGTGGAGAAGATATCGCACCTGAGCTGCAACAGTGTGCGAACGAGTTGGAAAGAGCTTCGTAATGCAAGCTGTGTTGAAGCCATGTTCGGAAAGTCCAATAGCGGCTCTCAGCCCTGCACCACCAGCACCCACGACAACCGCATCGTATTTATGATCCACCACGTTGTACGAGGAGCTTGCAGCACTCTGCACACACAACAAACAAAACGACACCGTCAACAAAATAATTTTTCATGGACGAATCGGAAATGATAATGAAGAGATAGAGTTGATGGGTTGATTCACACAGAGAAAAATCTTGAGACATAAGATCTCAGCGATTGGTGATTCGCACGAGCCACGCACCGCCACATTTCGAAGCACACCTTCTGGTTGGTTCTCTCGTACACGCTGTACTTTGCTTCGCGACCTCTCCCTTTTGTTTCTTCTACTACTTTTCTAATTTATATACATGTTGTTTTTTATTTTTCTTCAATTGTTTTTGGATCGAGTTCTAATTCGATAGTGTTTGGCGTTTGATTTTGACAAGTAGCAAATTGGTTGGTCGGAAAAATGAACGGAAGAAATGCCACGCTAACTCATTTTGATTTTTAGTATAAATATTGATTTTTAACAAACTGAAAAATAATCAAAATTAGGAAGAGGGTGAATGTGATTAGGCCAGTAATGCAGAAATCAGGGTTTTGCAAAGAAGGCATGGATATTTTTCAACGTGACTATAACAAACTAACAGGGGCAACGTGCTTTACGTAAGATGAAATGAAGTGATCCACGTAAGATATTTGAGAGAGGGACACGTGGCAAACACGAGCGTTTGCATACTGAAAAAGCGAGATTGGGTGGTGTTCTTTACGCCACGACTGAGTGATATAGATAGTCCACGTAGCCTTGAAACGCACCGTAGCAGCAAAAGGTAGATATGCATACATACGAATATGTATGTAGGTGACAGATTAAATGGAATTTTCTGCTCAAGGTTTGGGAGAAAAAAAAATGATAATAGTTTGACATTTAAATCTAAAATAAATAAATAAATATATCATTCAACTGAACTGATGTTATAAAATTTCCTCTTCTTATCTCTATTTTTTTTTAATTACAATCATTCTTAATTTTATATAATCATTAAATAATATATTATGACTTTATTAATTGTAAGAAAATTTGATTTCAATAAAAAATCATACTTAATTAACAGTAGATATCTACTATTAGAATAATTAAGTTTATAAAAAAAATTTATAGTAATATATGAATGAATGGTTAATGACATCGAATTTACGGTCTCCACATCATTTAATTATATATAGCATCAAAAAATTAATTAAATAATTAATAATATATAAAAATCAATTACAATATTTTAATTATAACAATCACAAGTATTTATCTTACTTGTAATTTATCTTACTCAACATTTTGTGTTTTGTTTCCAATTAATCAAATCCCTGTCATAGATGAAAAAGTTTCATTAATAAATATATTACATTTCAATTTAATAAAGATTAAATGATTAAAAAAAGTTTAAGTTATACATTTCAATTTAATAAAGATTAAAAATTTAAAAAAAATAAGTTAATCAAATAAATTATAAATTGCTTATGTTAATTAATCATAATTAACATAAATATTGAGAAAATTCATTGTAATTTAACTACACAAAAATTAAGTAACATAAACTGCATGAAAATTAAAAGTTATCTAACATTCTATTACGGTTAGGACATCAATTCTTATAATGTCATTTCTTATTTAATAACTAAAGTTATACTTTTCAATAATTTTTTTCTCAGTTTCTTTTAATATATATTTGACTTGATAAAGAATAACAAAAACAATTTCTTCACATATTTAAGGCCATCCACGTCACGGTGGCGTTTGAGGTTTTTATATTTTATTTTTAAATATAAATTTCAAAATAAAACTCATTATATAAAAGAACTAAAATGATTTTTAACTTCAGTTTAAAAACATGTGAAATCGGTGACTTATTGTGAAAAAAGTAATTTTTTTAGTATAATAATAATAATAATATAAATTTATGCTATATTTGACTCTTACATACTATCTTACTTGATTAAATATTTATTAATAGATGTGAAGATATATTTAATGAAGGAAAATTTATTTGATAATATTGTACACTAATTTTAATAATAATTTTTTTATATAAAAATAGATTTAATTACTTCAAAAATTCAATAAATAAGTCGAAAAGTTTTTATAAATATTTAGTTATCTGAGATAAAACAATTTATATTTTTTTTATATTTAGGTGGATTTTAGATTTAGAAGTATCAGAACAGAACTAAAGTGATAAGATGTATCTAAATATATTTGGTTATACTAATACTGAGAGAGGAATAAATAGTAAGATGTATCTTAGTCTTGTGAGGGTACTACCCAAGTTTTGGACCAAAGCGTTGATTTGGGCTGCAAAATACCTGAAGAAGTAAGAATTCAAAATTATCGGGTAAAGGAAATTAGTTATCTAAATAATAACATGTTTAGATAGGAAAATATCTTTTAATAGGTTGTAGTGACAGTACAAAACATGTTTAAGTGGTTTTGGTGTTACATATTTATGTTGTTTTTTATTATATGATGTTTTTATTGTAATTTTGTAATATTAATGAGTTGTATTGTTGGGTATTAAAACTAAAAAAGATTGAAAATTGAAAAAAAATCTTATTTCTTATCTTTATTTTTGTTTAAGCAATATATGTGTTATTTGAGTGAAAAAAGTAGTGACCTAAGACGATAATGATTTGCTAAAGCAAATTTTTTTTACTAAAATGATAGTCAAAGTAGCTTAATTTCGTTTAAGTAAAACTTTTCTTATTAAGAGAAACAACTCAACTTGGGTTTCGCTTAAATAAGATTATTTTTACACAAACGATAAGAGAGTAAGTTAATGTAGTTAAATTTTCGCTCAAATAAAATATATTTTAATGCTTTTTTATCTGAACTTCTAAAAATTATAAAAAATAATTCATAACTCCAAATTATACATTCCATATTATAAGCTGAAACCTCGAAAATAACAAATCAAATCAAATAAGAATGAGAAAAAAAAACTCAAAATTATTACAAAATGAGTAAGTAGAAGTCAAATTAGAAATATAAGAATTAAAAATATTTATTCAAAATATGTTAAATTTATTACAAATGACAAAAAGGTAAGAAGATAACATGTATAATGAATTATAAGATGATATGATGATGTTTTATATTTTTGAAACCAAAATATATCTATTGAGACTTAATCGGGTTAGAAGAGTAGCTCATAATTGAGTGAGATATATTTGTCTACGGGAGTTTAAGTAAAGTCAGAGATGTGATGAATAATGGACTAAGATGTGTGTAAGTGTAGGTATTGTGTGGTATTAATGTAACTATTATGCTTGTATGAAATTAATGACATCCCAAGTTTCACTCATAATCATAAGTAAACTAAGGTGTCAATAGTGAGGAGTTGATGAGAAAATTATTGATGGTTTGTCCTGATATGATTTTATTTTATATTAACTTATGCTTATATGAAATTAATGACATCTCAAGTTTCACTCATAATCATAAGTAAACTAAGGTGTCAATAGTGAGGAGTTGATGAGGAAATTATTGATGATTTTTTCTGATATGATTTTATTTTATATTAACTAAGGCCATTAAAACATGCGACTTAGTCTAGCTTGATTTAGTCATATGGATCAAGTAAAAATAATTGATAGTTCTAGCCTATTTTTTAAAATGAGTCATAACTTTTGGTCCAAGTATGACCCTATATTATGCTAATAGACTAACATACTAATTTTGATATAATTAAAAATTCTAAAAATATTAAAATATATTTTAAAATTTTAAATTATATTAATAAATTTTTTAAGATATAATAATTTAATCTATAAATTATAAAAAAATGATTATTCAATCTCACTATAAAAGTTGAAAATTTATTTTTCATCATACTTATTTTGATATTTACTCTTAACAAAATTAATCATTCATTAAATTAATTTATAATATATATATATATATATATATATATATAATAAAATTATATCATTTTTATTTTTATTTAAAAATAATTATTATTTTATAAAATAAGTTGACCTATAAACCTACAAGTTAATATGTCTTGAGTTTATGTAAATGCGAGCCAAACCAAAATAAAACTAATTTAATTTATGTCACAATTTGTTTTTTTACCAATTTTAAAAATCAAACATCATATCACTTATTATTTCTTATCATATTAATCTCATATATATTGAAATCTAAACTATATATTTAACTAAATTATAAGTAAAGTGTAAATCTCATAAAATTTTGAAAAGTTGAATTATACATTTATTCATTTTAATTATGATATTAAAATCTATAAGAATATCAGACAATCTCTTATTGCACCATTATTAGCCCGCTTTCAATTATCCTTAATGATACATTTTATAAATTAAAAATGATATTAAAATCTACCTAATGAATAATATCATACCATATCTTATGCGAATATTATTACACAGTCTTAAAATATTCTTGATGATACATTTCATAGATTAAAACTAAATTGAGAGAAGTTATTTAAATAAATAAGAAAGTAATTCTCACTTAATATTATAATTAATTAATTTTTAAGCTAAATATGAAGAAGTAAATAAATTCATATAAATTTTATTTAAGTAATTTTTTTTAAATTATATTATTTTTAAGGATTCATTGTAAGTGAAATAACATAATTTAGAACGAACCAATTTTAACTCTTTTTTTTTTCGTTTTAAATGAACTTAATCCATTGTATAAATTTTTGTGTCAATTTATTTATAGAAATAGTTATAATTTATAAAATATAAATAATATTATTTTATTAATATATAAACATGCGTTAAAATTTAATATTAACTTATTATATGTAAATTTAAAATTAATTTTATTCATTTAACTCATATTTAAAATTACATATTTTATTTTAAATTTTAATTTCTTTTAGATTAGATAATAGTGATCGCTAGCCCAACATCCAACTAACCCATGTTCGCTTAACCCATTAGGTTGAGTTGGATCTAAACGATCAATTTGCAATCCTATTTTATACACTCAATATTCTTCCCTTCACTTTTTTTCTTTAATTCATTCCCACACTCATAATAATAACAATACTTATTTTTCCTTTAAAATTCCAATCATTTTTTGAAATAACTTTAACTCTATTTGTCTTCCATTTTTCAACCAAAAGATTTACAATACTAGAAAATATACTTTCAACGTCGCCGTTTAACGTCGGTTACATCTTAGCCGATGTTGAACATGCTTTCAACGTCGGTTGGTCAAAAACCGACGTCGAAAGTCGAAT